ACCTGACAGACTCCCAAACACACAATGGCTTACCTCCACGTTACCAACCCGTTCGCTCCATCCAACATGGGCTAAACTGCGTAAACACCGATAATCGAAAACTTCTAGTCGACGGATATCTTCTACTCGCAAATTCAGGGTCTCACAACCATAAAGCAGGACTGAACGAACGCTAGCACAATATACACAACCTTTCAACTTCAGTGAAACGTCGCGTCTACGCCAAACGCACGCCTGCTGTACAGCCAAATTTCACTGGGTCTGCTATAGACTCGCGGTTGTAGGCAAGGTGCGGTTTCATCGCTCGGGTTAGGTGGGCAAGCGTCAGGTCTCTTGTTGCGGTGATCTATCGGATCGATCGATAAAAGAACCCGATCGATCGTGTGATTTTCAGGGCGGTATAGGAAGAATGAAAACCTTCAAGCGATGATGACACTGGACCAACCTTTAACTCGTCTAAAATATACTCACTATTATTTTAAGCGGGTTGTCGCGCAAATTTTGCGGCAGGTGTGAGACGGGATTTTACTTGGAAGAAATTCACTCCTGTTCAGCCAACCGAAGCCCATAGACGCCAGCCTAAAGGAATTGCGGTAACTCTCAAGCAACCAACGATTCATGATGCAGTTCACTCCCCAACTCGCTAGCTGCAGAAAACCCCACCAAACTCGATTGGTAGATCATCGCTTATCTGACCCAGCCGTTCGTGCCTATCTTGAACTAGGTCAAGAGCTAAACGCACTGTGGGGTGTTAGTGTAAATGAACAATGGGATCAGATTAGCCGAGCAATGCACTCCGCAGCGAACGTTGCTTGTGGATCTGAAGCAGTAGCTCACCCGAAGCATTGGATATCTGATGATGATAGAAAAAAAGTGGCATATCCCAACCAACCGGGATCGAGGCAGAGTTAGGTGACGTCTGCAACGTCAACTCACGAGGAGCCTCAAGAAAGACCTTGAGAACAGGTGGGCAATGATAGCTTGTGAAATGAAAATAGCAGCTGCATCAGGGAATAGTCAAAGACTGTTCCAACTGATACGCAATACGAGAGGTCGGCGAACTCCAGTTAGTGAAACAGTCTGAGATAAGAGGGAACAAGCTATCCGCAATAGGGGTGAACGACTTGATCGCTGGGCAGAATACTCCAGCGAACAGTTCAGCTGGCCTGCCGCTAACCGGATTGCCTCGTCTGCAATTGAAGCTCCGTGGACAGTGTCGTGCGATCCTCCAACGAAAGCAAAAGTTCGGTCATGCATGCAGGCTCTGAAACGAGGGAAGGCAGCAAGACCGAATGAGCCCCCTCCCACTCTTTTCAAGATGGGGGGGGGGTTGATAACCTCGTAAGCTGTATTACTACCTTGATGCGCAACATTTAGACGCAAGAGCGATTTCTTTCATCTTTGAGCGAATCACTGATCGTTCCCATTTTCAAGATAGAATCTCGCAACGATTGCGAAAACCACTGCGGGATAAGTTTGATCCCAATCGTCACAAAAGTGCTAGGTTCGGTTATACTTCGATATCTGACGCTTTTAAGAGAGACCAACATCCGTGAACAGCAAGCTGGATTCCAGCTTGGCCTTGGGTGTATTGATCACATTTTTCCGTTGCGTCAGGTCCTTGAGCTGCGTCACACCCACCGTCGACCAACGATCGCAGTGTTTCTTGACCCCACGGGAGGGTTCGACTCAGTTAACCGCGAAGCTCTGATGGGCTCCCTTTTTCTAAAAGGAATACCCCATAAGTATGTTAACTTACTGAGTTCATTCTACTCACATACCTCTGATCGTGTAAGAGTTTATGATGGACAAAGTAGACCATTCGTCACCAGCAACGGCGTGCGTCAAGGATGCCGTTCCTGTTCAATTTCGTCGTAGACGAAATACTGTAGGACGCACTTAGTGGCCTCCAAAACGCAGGCATTGAATGGGCAGCTAGAAAAAAGCTGTGCGATTTAGGGTACACCGATGACGTCTGTCTGTTCGAATGTTTGGAGGACGCGCTAAACGCACTGAATAGACTATCAAGTGCTGTTGGCACATTCGGTATGTGCTTTACACCTTCACAGTGCAAAGTGATGCTGCAGGACTAGGTTTCGCCTACTCCCGCTCTGAAACTGGATGGCCAGAATTAGTTACCGTGGATTACTTTTCCTACTTAGATAACTGCGTGACCAATAACGGTAGTGCAGCAAAAAAGTTAACCACCCGCAGTTACAAGGCTCGAGCAGCTTACGCAGGACTGAAACACCTGTGGCGTAGACGCGACGTTTCATTGAATTTGAAAGATCCTGTACATTATGCCACCGTTCGTTCAGTTCTGATGTATGATTGTAAGACCTTGAATTTGCGAGTAGAAGATATCCATCTACTAGAAGTTTTCGATTATCGGTGTATGTGTAGTTTAGCCCACATGGGATGGAGCAAACGGGTTAGTAACGTGGAGGTAAGCCGTCGAGTGTTTGAGAGTATCAGGTATAAACCTGCTAGCACACCGAATTCAGATTAGTAGACTTCCCTGGCTAGGGTACGTATTGCGTATACCCAGCCATTGTCTGCCGCACCGCGCTTTATTCGTTGTAGCTAATCCGGACTGGAGGAAACCACGTGGAGACCAGGCATGAAGAAATGCACAGAGCCATTAGGCAGAGTATTTGTTACGCGCCTTCCAAGTTATTGTCCGAAAGACTCAGCAACCAGTTGATTGGAGACATTGAAGGATATGGCAGAGAACCGAAAGCAGTGGCGTTCCTGTTATTTCTTATCAGGCCAGAACGCTTGAAACGGTATGCATGCAGAGTTCGGTTGCGCACTCTTTGTGTTGACCTTATTGGTTCACCTCTCTCCCTCAAAGTAGGTCCAGTCCGTGTCCACTTTGAATTTTACCACTAACCTTGTATACATTATGAGTTTGGCAGCGATCAGTGAAGTTTGCCTCACCGTATTTCGCTGTACGATGATGATGAGGAATATTCTTTTCGTTTCCCTCGATCATAAAGCGGCCGTGGACCCACTCGACTACCTTTCCCTTGACGACTAATTTATTTAAATATTACGATCCCTTTATACTAATAGTCGAGGCGGAGCTCGAGCTCACATCACTTCTTCGTTCTAGTTAACCACAGAAAGAGGCGTTCATCAGGTTTTCCCTTTCTCTCATTACACATTTGTGTGATGTACAGCAGCCGAAATGGACCCCGTAGTCGCGAAAACCTGCTGTTCCGGGCTGGAACCGGTAACTTGAGCCCCGGGACATGGAGTGATGAACCACAAAAGAGCCCGCTAGGTTAGGCGTGGTATTTAACTGAAAGACAGCAAAACTGTTTTCCGCCTCTCCTTTTCTATTCAAGTTTGTTATAGATTTGATTATGAAAACAGCCACATGTTCACGCCAGGATAGCGGCATCGATTTTCTCCCAGGTAGCAGACTGGTCTGGGTATATTGATGACATTTTACTGCTGGGAGAAGATCCAGGTAAGTTGCAAGTTTTTCTTGGTGGTTTTAAGGTTGGTTTAGTCAGGCATTTTGCACCTTCAAAGTGTAAAATGTCCCTGTAAGACTGGGTTGGTGCACCTCAAATCCTTACCATCCTGATGGGACTGCACTCTGACGTGATGTGATGGCTTGTGAACCTCTGTGATCTAACGAGCTACACAGTATGTCTTTTGTTGAGCCAAAGAACTAATAATCGTATCTCGCTGTACAATGGTAATGAGTCTCCTGTTCCTCCAGATTGGGGGTTCGACTTGAGTCGGCGTCTCAGCCGGTAAAGTATTGTAGGAGTAATTAATCCAAGTAAATGGGCCTCCAATCCGCCATACCTGCTGCCTTACGGTCAGGACGAATCGTGCTTCTCCCTAGTGGTTGTACTCCCTGACAGTGCCCATCCGTAAAGCTCCAATGAACAAACTCATACTACGTCGGTCGTCGCGCAGGATGATCAGGACAGCGCTGCCCGTTAAATCGAGCTGGGTGGGTAGTGAGCTCACTTCCTAAATTGCAGTGGAAAGCTGCTTTGATCGAGATCTGTCTGCAACAAATGTCTCACTAACGCCGCCTCACTTTCTCAACTCTCTTAGCCTGTCTAACTGCGGAATTTATAAAATATTATTATAAATTGACTTTGATTCACATCAGCGCAATATTAATGAAAAGGCAGTTTAAGAACAATGTTTATGTATGTTTATGTCATACTCCTTGCTGGTATTTTGAAGACAGCTTCTCTATCACTGTAATCGTTATGGTTTGGTGTTATTTTTACTGAGGTCAAGAAACGCAGACCCACGTCTGTCCAATTCATACATTTCTCATCCACTAAATACGTTTTCTCTGTTTCGCTGAGTCAAACAAATATTTCCTGTTTAAAATTCTAGTTTACAGAAGGAACACCAGGAGTTGATAAATCACACTAACAAAAAGGATTTAAGCCTCGACTCCACACACGCTGTACCACTCGAACCCTTTCGCAATGTTGCAGTTGACCGATCATCAGTTCCCAACCTGTCCGCTTCGGCCGTACCTACTCAGCGCCCAAAACCCAATCCCCCAATGCGACGGTCATCCGAAATAAGCAACAATTCTGGTTTAGTTTCACCTTCACCCACAAATGCCACTGGCGATTTGTCCCCAGTCAACGGAACCAATACCAGTGAGTTAAATATAAACGTGGATTCCGAAGGTCATCCCAGCGGCCCAGCTAGTCCAGACTCTTCAAGTATCTCACCTAGCGCTCCTCTGAGTGTCAATGTCCCTGTAAACAGCGCAACTACCTCTCCGATACAGCGTCCGTCGTCACGATCATCGACTCCATCGCCACCACCCCCACCCCCACCAATTCAACTTCATTACCCTTATCCTGGTATACAAAGTCATCTACATCACGGCCAGCCACGAAGCACAGGCATCAACTCACCGTTCACACCAAACACAACTCGTCCCGCATCAATCTCGATGACACATGGAATGACAACCAAATCTCGCCCGGCTTTGTCTTCTCATGGATCACATCCCGCAAACTCATCTTACCAGGCCCCTTTTGTTTCTATGTCCCCACAAACACAAACCAGTCGCATGTCATTCACATCACCTGCTCGTGCCGGTGCACCACGTAAGCCCTCCACTGTTGTTGCTCATCCTTCGCATGGTGATACCTCGACTAATTCATCCACTTATTCAGTTCCGTTAGTTTCCACTCAGTCTAAGGCCTCCCTACCAAATCAGTCGCAGTATCCTCCGCGAACTGCAGCTCAACACCTCATGTCACCAGCCGG